TTATGTATTTTTTTGATACACGAAGGATCAATTGAAGCAATATTTCGTAGTTTTTCAACATTTACACACTTTCTGTTTCATTATTATGCTTGCGCTCATGGGGTCATCCAAGTATCGGCGAGTCAATATTAACTATGAGAAAACGATTATCTTATAATTGTGCTAGTCGTTTTAATTCATCGACGAAGTGGTTATTGAATGTTCTACGAGAGTAGAACCAGGAGTACTGTGACGGATTCAGAATTAAAGCAAGGCTGGTATCTCTACCACAAGTGAAGAAAATTTCCGACAATTGGAGGGAGTAGATGTCCTCTCCCTTGGTTCTCCGTTCACGACAGGCCTTATTAAGATAAAAAAATCGCTCGAATATTGCTTTAACAATTCTTAGACTGTTCGGATATTTTGGTCCGTTATGACCCAATGTCCCTTTCAAGGAACATTTCCTTTAAGACATCACAATGCATCAATAGATTAATGAAAACATTGTGGAGTGATTTTTCTACGATAGTCTAACGATGTACCTCGCGATACCGCTTAAAAAAACATATTGTTTCCTCTGACAGTTACTCAAAATTACTTTTTCTCTTTTTTTTATGAGCCACAAGATCATTTAAGTCGAAGAAAACAAAGAATATTGTATACAGTGTATTATTGCATGTTTTATTGAAATTTTCGCAATGTCCCTTGGAAAGAACATTGGGCTCTTAAGCGTTAAATTTCATATTAAAATACTAAATATTCTATTAAATTAATTCAATCATTTGAATAATTCTTCATTCGATTTATATTCAATAAAATTTATTTCTTAAAAATTTTTTCGAAAATATATTCATCGGTTTATTATTGTTTGATTATTCAAATAATTGAATAATTATTTCCAGTCAATTGAGATCGAGAATATTTTATATTGAAACAAATCAAGAGGAATTTGTTTTTTCTTTATTAATGAAATAAAAAATATCGAAGAATAATATATTATTCAATATAAATATTCTCTTATTAAATCAATTATTTAAATGTGTCGAAAATAAGATTTTAGTTTTTTTTTGAAAAATTTTACATTTAAGAAGAAAGAAAACAAACAAAAAAAATCAAATCGAATTTTTTATATATCTATGTTAATTTGCCTAATTAATATTTAAGACGAATTTCAATTGAATTTAACGAGAGTTTTTCGATTTGGGCAAGTGAGAACAACTTTCATATAGAATATTTTTGCATTTAATTTTTTATTATTTAAACAATTTAATTTATAGAAATAGAAATAGAATAGATAATTCTCTTCTCTCTCATCATGGATAAATATTGATGAAATTAAAAAAAAAATTCTAAATAGAAAATCTTCGTTAATCATTAAAATCAAATAATGAAAATTCTTATAAATAATTATTTTAATTAAAGATTGATCATTTTTTAAAAACAAGTTTATATATATATATATATAATCTATCGAAAAATCAATGATCGAGTGTTTTTGAAATCGAATCAAAATAAATTTAATAAATTATAATAAAATATTTAAATATTGATTGAAATTATTTGAATATATAATATTATTATTTATTTATTGTTTTTAATAAAGAAATGATGATGTACCTGATTGTTACAATCGAGTTCGTTATATTCGGGATGCTTGTAAAGTATTATCTGATCTTTGGAAAACCGATAAAGATTTTGTAAGTTAATTAAAAATATTTATTTTGAAAAAAAAACAAATGAAATTTATTTTTAGTTAAATAAAAGTATTGATAATGATGTTGCACGTTCTTATCGTTTACCATATGGAACAAGTGGAGCTTCATCGGTTTTAAAAATCAAACAATTGATGATTTAGTTCAAATACATGATTTTATTGATTCAAAAAGAAAAGAATGGCTAGAACAATTAAAAAAAATTATTGAACAAGCCAGAGATAAACAAGTAATTATAGAACCTTGTTTTTTTTTTTTATTTTTATTTTTATTTATAAAAGTCAACTATTCGTCGAACGATGACTGAATTTCGAGATAATTATGAAAAAGCTCAACAAAAATTAGAAGCAGCTGATGCCAATTGGAAAAAGTTCGTTTATTAATTTTATATAAAAACAAAAAAAGAAGAAATTCTTTTGATTTTTCTAAAGATTTCAAACACGATCTGATCGTTTAACATTACCAAATTTTGATGAACGTTTACGTGAATTAGAAGATATTCGTTGTGAATGTGAACAAGCTCGAACATTATCACGTGATATATATGCAGCTGAAACATATAAAGTTGCTAGTGAAGAACATTCAATAACAATTAAACTTTTTTATCAATATTTATATGAAGAAAATACATTTTATAATCATGTATCGAAATATTTATCATCATGAATGCCTGAAATTGAACAAAGATTAGAAAATGATGAATTAATTCCATCATTTGGTTATGATCTTGCTAAACATTGTTTAAAACGAAATGATACACTTATTGCTTATCCTATTGAAATATGTATTAGACTTTTAGAAAATAGTTTAAATGAACAAGGTCTTTTTCGTATTGCACCATCACAAGGAAAACAAAAAAAATAGTTGCTGAACTTAATTTACATGCTATTGATAGAGGAAGAACACTTTATGATCTTTTAAAAGAGAACTTCCTGATTGTTTGCTTACAAATGCACTTTTATCACAATGGAATGATGTTATTTCAATCAGGTTTTTATCTTTTTTCTTTTAAGAGAAAAATGACAAGATACATTTTAATTTATATTGAGAAAAATAAAAGATATATTGATTTAGTT